CAGGACTCTTTCTCTCCCTTCCCACCCCCCACCATGGCCTAACCCTAACCCCCCCTGGCTGGGGACAGGCTGTGCTGCAGCGCAAGCCAGGCCCACCTCCAACCCCCCTGGGCAGGGACAGGCTGAGCCATTAGCCAGGCCTGGCTTGCCACATGGCTGCCGGATAGGGCCGAGTCTGAGCTGCACCAGGCCCGGTTTTCCAGGACTCTTTCTCTCCCTTCCCACCCCCCACCATGGCCTAACCCTAACCCCCCCTGGCTGGGGACAGGCTGTGCTGCAGCGCAAGCCAGGCCCACCTCCAACCCCCCTGGGCAGGGACAGGCTGAGCCATTAGCCAGGCCTGGCTTGCCACATGGCTGCCGGATAGGGCCGAGTCTGAGCTGCACCAGGCCCGGTTTTCCCTCCGGCTGCTGAGAAAGGGAGAGGGGAAGGCTGAGGCTGTAGGCGGCTGCACCCCTCCACATGGACCCTGGGAAGGGCCAGGCTGGGGGCAGGTGGGTCTTGTTTCTGTGGGACACAGAGTGACGTGATGACATCACTCTGTGGACCTGCAGGAAAAACTTTTTTTATACGTAGAGAGATTGGTGTAGATAAATTGTCTTATATGTGACCTCACATCTGAATAATGGATACTGGTTCTAACATTACCTTTTCAGAGCAATTAGAAGTTCCTTCTAGAAATAGGATTGTTCAATGGGAAGACAGCGGGTAAGAGAAATGTATGGGCCAGTGGTAGTTATACTCAAACACTTTGCTGAGGGCAGCAGGAGCATCACAGAAGGCTCTATAAGGAGAGAAAATAATCGTTTCTCTTGTCTTGGCCCTAGACACTCACCAGCAGCAGCAAGAATCTATTTCCGTCATCACTTTTCCCTTTCCAACCAGGAAGCCAGGGAAAAGCAGCTGTGACTACATAGGGAGAATGAGTTACCACCTCTCCCTTGACTCACTGCATCCCTGGAAAACCCACTAACAGTGGGAACAGTAAGATCCTGAAGCATTTTTCCCATATGATCATCAAAATCCAACCAGAGGCCATAAACCACACAAAATGACCCTCTGGAACCATCTTATTTGCCGAGTGGAGGACTGGTAAGTTCTAGTACAAAAGAAGAGCTCAGAGCCACAAGCCTATCAGCCAAAAGTGAAACAGAGAACACAGTGAGCTGTCAAGAACCACAGAATGGTTCCCCAGAATCACCAAAGAAGAGCAAAGGGCAGAAGCAATCCCAAAAGGCCTTGTCCAACCACCACTGAAGCCAATGGAAATACTCCTATTGATTTTAGGGGAGATGGAACCTTCAGAGCGCACCATTAGAAGGGCTGGTTGCAGTAATAAGCAGCACACTTATCAAGGCTATGTCTCCACTGCAGTTCTTTTTTGGAAAAAGGTACACAAACTGCAAACCACAATCTGTGTAGCATTTTCTGATTCTTTTTCCGGAAGAGGCTTTTCCGACATTTGGCCCAATGCAGATGGGCCAAATGTGGGAAAAACTTCCTCTTTTCGAAGAGCCCTTATTGCTGATAAAATGAGGAATACAGGGCTTCTGAAAGGATGTGCCCGCTTTTTCAGAAACTGATCCGAAAAAGCAGACGCATTCCCTGGATGCGGCAGAGGTTTTTCTGGGATACCTATGGTATCCCGGAAAAACTCTGTAGTGTAGACATGGCCTGAAAGAGGTGGAGTTGATTAAATTTAAGGGGGAAAAACCCTGCATTGGATTTGATTAAATTTAAGGGGGAAAAACCCTGCATGCTTGCAAGATGAAATTGAAGCATGAACAGAAGTCTGTAAAGTCTGAACTACAGTCACAGAACTGTGACCTTTTCTTAGGACAAACAAATGAAAAGAGAAATAAGGAGCAGTACAAAATGAGGTGCATCGTTAATCTGCTAATGCCGATAGACGCTAAATCACTGCAGTCTTTCCTGGGACTTACTACCTTTTGCAGAGAATTCATGGTGGGTTATGCAAAGAAGGCAGGTCCCCTGTATAAGGTGTTAAAAAGACTGCAGTGAACTTGGACCAAGGAAGCACTAGTGCTTGGGAAAGCTTAAAAAAGTGGTTAATGGAAGCACCCACTCTGGCTGCTCCTTACAATGAATTCCCCTTTGTATTGTATCTAGTGTGAAAAATGTCTGTATTGTTAGTATGATCACTCAGGATACTGGTGCTGGGGAAAGACCCATTGTGTACTACAGTAGAACACTGACAGCTCCAGAAAGCAAACTGGGAATCTGTGAAAAAAACCTGCTCTTGCTGCTTAACGGGCCTTGTAAGTAGCCCAGGCAATCACTGGGGCAAGTGAAGTGATTGTAAAAAGCCATCATGCCCTTGGAAAATTATTAAGTTAGGAAAATTTATCCAAAGGACATGTAGAAGTAGAAAAGGCCATACAGTGGGTCTTCACTCTCATAACAGAAAATGTGCAGTTAGTCACCCTGAAAGAACCTGAAATATCGGTATGGGCCTGACCTGATGTGGCCAGGAACATATTTGCAAACCTCAAAAGAAATCCAAAGTGCACCCTGTTTTTAATGCAAGTAATTGACACAACAATTTGGCAGCTCATATTACACCAAAGGGAAAGAAGTCCCTGGGGATTCGTAGCAATCTGCCTAATGGGAGACCTGCAACCCAGTGGCTCAGTATAATTAACAACATTTAATAAAATTTAACAGATTTTTTGGTTTGTAATTGCATTATTTGTTGAGGAAGAAATATACGTATATACGTTTATGAAACCTTTTTGAACTGTGCAAAAAATGGTATTAATATTTTGATTATACCCCAAACGTGGTATTAAAATAGTGTGATACAACTTACAGTTTTTTAAAAGGGGTATAAAATTGACTTCTGCCGCTCAGGTCCTGTTGTGTGCTGGGGCTGCCCTCATATATGCCCCTCTTCCCCCCGCAGGGGCAACAGCTGCCTCAGCCCACCACTGACACCGCTCCCTTGGTTGTAGCCAGAAGGAGCAGCAGCAGCCAGCGAGGAGCACAGCCCAGAGCAACAGGGGAAGGAATGTGCTGGGGAAGGTGCAGGCAGGGTCATGGGAGAGACCCAGCCCCAAATGTTGGTAAAGTCAGGTCCTTGGGCCTTGAATATTGCTGGAGCATGGGCACCATGGGCCCATATAACTCGATGCCCCTGGGCCCTAAGATTGTTCTGCCTGAGAGACTGGCCCCTGAGGTTGTTTATTCTACCTAGCCAGTTTGTTAAAGCCAAAAGACTGCTCTGCTCTATCCTGCTCCACCGCTAATCATTTGGGACTGGGTGGTGCCTCGGTGAGGTGGGGGGAGCACTAACTCACACTACAACTATATCGAAAACATCCAGCTGCGGCTAGATTTCAGTTAATAAGCCACAGATAGAAAACAACTACAGATTCATCCGCCTTGGTGGTCTATACAACCTTCTAGACCCACATTAAATGTCAGGTACTTCCCAGGGGTCGCTAATGACTTAGGAGCCACACATTCAGCTGGAACCACCAATGCAGTGACTGACAGCCTGACTCAGTCAGGAGCTGCAGACACAGGTAAGTGTCTAACTCTTTCCTAGCCTCTTCCCAGCACAAGGGTGAAGATTTTTCAGCTTATTTTCCACATGTTGCTGCAGGGGTTATTAATGTGTCTCACCTTTCTGGGCAAGCCGTAAGTTCAGTTTTTACCTCATCCTTTTGTAATGACTTTTCACTGTTTAAATTATTTACTGTCAGAAGCAATTGCTGGGGTACCCAAGGCTACTGGGGTCACCCCAGCCATGCTGCTCCTGCACACCCCAAAAAGATTTACAGTTACATTTTGGAAACCGATACTAACAGCAAACAAGACAACCATGAGCTAAATGATGCCACTGATATCCCCGGAGCAAATTGCTTTCAGCTGGATTACTATGACGTTAGAATCTGGCCCTCTGAAAAGAATTGACAGTTAGTCTCACCTGTGGGATTCCACTAGTTTAGAAGACTTTGAACAAACAAAATGCGGCAGATGGAGACCACATTGTTTATATTTGGCTCCAAAAATGACAAATGGTAGTTGAAAAAGGTCAGTTCACAGGCTTCTAACTACTTGATTCCCCCGCTCCCTCACCCCTTCAAACTGCATCATTGCTGAAAAGCAACTAAAAGATCAACTTGGTTATGATGTATTATTTAGCTCTGATTGACTTAATAGCCATCCTGCTGCTTGTCATCTCTTAGTCTCAGGGTTTTGTTGTAGGAAAATGAGTAAATCCAAATAAGTCCATTGGCTTCATTGGAATTATCTAAATTTAAACAACAATCCTCTCAGAATTGGTTATGTTCTGTTGAACACTGTAAAATAGCACCCCTTCCACATATACTGTTTGTCATTTTATAGTTTTGATGTTTATGCCTTAGAAGTTAGGTGTAGTCTAACTGATTTATGATTTCTGTGGGGATGAGGATTTCCAACCTGGAAATCCTGCCTGCTTTTAACAGTGTAAAATCTGCACCCGCACTGTAGCATTGCTATATTTTGAACATTTATTTTCCTTTACTTGGTTTCTTTTAAAAGGAAAACTGAATGTATAATAATCTCAGAGGGGTAGCTGTGTTAGTCTGTAATTAAAAAAAACTAAAAAAACCCAACAAAGAAAGTGTCTAAGGTGCTACAGGACCAAACAAAAGAATATAGATAGTGTCACGAGCTTTCATGAGCACAACCTACTTCAGATGAGTGGAGCAAGAGGCTCCTCTTGCTTCGCTCATCTGAAGAAACAGGGTTGTGTCCATGAAAGCTCATGATGCTATCTATATGCTTTTGAATGTATGATATGAGCCTCATCTACGTGGGGGGATCAGAAATTCAACTAACGGCACTGGAGCATATACATAGTCATAAAAAGCAACCCATTGAATGTATTTTAATTAATGGTACTTAGGGGACTGCATAAATCCGGAGGCCTCTGTTCTATATATTGTTTAAATTTATTAGAGCATATAGTTTTTCATTACTTTACATTTAGTTGTTTTTTAAATCTTTTTTTAACCTGATTGTCAACACTCAGGTTCCATATTGAGAAGGATATACATGCAAAGATTCCATTTATCAAACCTTACTCAAAGTAACAGATACCCAATTAAATAGCCCTATGACCATAAAAGGTGGTTGGATGAGTTCCAAAATTAGAACTTTATTCTAAAAGTATTTTGTTGGGTGAACAAGAAGTATTCAAATAAGGCACGAAAAAAGAAAAGCTGAGTACATTTCTTAAAATTTTTTCTTTTGAGCTGAGTACAAGAATAAGATTTTAGACCAAAGGGGAATGCCAGTATCTATTAAAAAAGGAGATTGTTGTCTCAGTTAATATAGTGCATAGACTGGATAAGATCAGGAGAGGTTTTATTAGTCAGTACACATGAGAAACCTGTTTTTATTTTTCTTTATTTTTCATGGGAAACTATCAGTTGAAAGTTGGTCACTGCCCCTTGGAAAAAGTGTTAATGAAACATTGCTTTTGCGGTCCTCAGTTTTACATGTCAGCTCTGGCTACACAATGAAACCTGTTTGTAGTGTGACCTATTTTCAAAGATGCTAGAACAAGTGACATTCTGAACATCCTGAGTGATTTCTACTAAATGTCTGGAGTTCAATTGTACTGATCCAGTGAGTGTCTGGTCGGCTAATGGTATTTAAGGGGAAAGCTCGCTTTTAAAAGTTTGAGATTCAGTCATTGGTGCATAGCTGCACTGGTGTACTGTAAACCTTAACTGTAGGTAAGGAAAGTGATGATTTGCACTTGCTTAGTTTACCTTGTGTGAGATTTCTAAAGATAGCTATAGCACTTGTCCCAACATTAAGAATCTGATGTGCTGTCCAAAATCTGAGAGGGACAAGATGTGGAGCATGCTTTCAGAAGTCCTAAAAGAGCAACACCGAAATGCAGAAACTACAGAACCCAAACCACCAAAAAACCCTTTCTGCTGGTGATATTGGATTCAGATGATGATAATGAACAAGAATCAGTCTGCACTGCTTTGGGTCGTTATCAGGCAGAACCTGTCATTAGCATGAATGTATGCCCTCTGGAATGGTGGTTGAAGTTTGAAGGGGCCTGAATATTTAACACATCTGGCACATAAATACCTTGCTTCGCTGGCTACAACAGTGCCATGTGAACACTTGCTCTCACTTCCAGGTGACATTGTAAACAAGCAGCAGGCAGAATTATCTCCTGCAAATTGTAACCAAACTTGTTGGTCTGAGCAAGTGACTGAACTGGAAATGGTAATGAGTGGGCATTAGGCTCTAAAGATTTGCATTGATTTTTTTGAGCACAGTTATTTTTTGTAAATAATTTTACAACGGCAAATTTAACTTCCAGGATGAAGAGTTTGCACTGCAGTACTTCAACTAGGTGAATTCGAAAACAAAAACCATTTCTTTTGTTTGTTACAGTGCAAATATTTGTGATCAGGTTAAACGCATAGGCTTTGTCTTCACTGAGAATTCTTCTGGCAGAAAATATGCTAATGAGGGACTCATTAACATAAATCAGGATCTCATTTTTACATTCACCTCAATCCTTTGAAGGCCTGTTTTAATATGTCACTTACCCACCTTGTTTCCTCTCAAGTTCATAGTTGTCTTTTCAAGACTGAATAAAGATTGGAGTGCAGAAGACATTTATGAGCATGGTGAGTAGAAATGTATGACTGCTGCCTAATCTCATTCTCACCCTTTCCCTCTTTCAGTTTGTTATAGCCTAGGTCACACATTCCCTTGGACATGTTGTAGGGCTGTGCTGTCCTGTGCCAGCTAGCACTAAACAGCTGATCAGTCATGGATGCTCCAGCCATTTCAAACAACTCCGCTCACTTAAACTTGCAGCAACGTTCAGCCAAAGGATGTTGGATATCAATTTTCATGTGGAGCTGAGACTATCACCGTACTTTGCTCTCTTATGGGTTCTTCCAGATGAGTGACTTAAAGCATATTACCATAAAACACCTCAGAGAACTAAGTATCATTGTCTGTAGGTTGTAATGGGAGATCGAGATCCTCAGCTGATGTAAATGGGCAGCAATGTTACACTGTAGTTCCACTGGTTTAACTGAGAGAAGACTCAGGTGCAGAGTAAAAGCTCAAATGCATCAAAAAAGTCACAAGAGTGACGTGTCTGCTGTGAAATTTTAGCCTTATGCCTGAGCTGGCTAGGTGCTTAGTTGCTCTCCCTTTCCTCTGGGCAGAAAGAGGAAAGTCACAAGGTTCTCCGCTACAGGTCCCTGATGATGGGGCTGGTTCTAGCCTGACCCCATCCCTGTCTAATGTAAACTGCCCTGGCTGGTGGTAGGACCTTCTGTATTGAAAGACTGCAAGGCACATCAGCTATAGCCCTTCTTGCACTTTTTGTCCTGGCACACCAATTCAACTGTGCTGGGCAGTGCAGAGTTGGGGCAGACAGTATTTTGGCTTTACATTCATGGGCAGTCATGGAATCCTCACTAGGTCATAGCTGATTTAGAGTTTTCTGGTTGTCCCAAACATTCTGAGTGGAAGAAAACATTTTGTGGGGGAAAGATGTCTGAAACCAGGTCCCAGGAAATTATTAATGAAAATTCTACCTTCACTGTTTCTTTCTTAATGATTTTGTCAGCATGTAATTAACCCGATGTTCCCCTGCAGGCCACCCAGAGTGACTTGACTAAACTGGATTATCATACGGCTTATAGTTCGGTGTCACCTCTGTACACCAATCCATTTAACCACACAGACATTGTATGTGGAAAAAATTTCATACGGCAATTTGCTCAGACTTTCCTGCCATTGTTTTTCTGGATTATATTCTGCATTGGAACAGTGGGCAATGCCTTAGTCATCTTGGTCTACTGGAAATACAGACACAGGAAGCGCACCACTGATAGATATCTGCTACATCTTGCCATTGCTGATCTGCTGCTCCTTTTCACACTCCCTTTGTGGGCTAAAGCAGCTACAAGTGGTTGGATCTTTAAGAATTTCATGTGTAAAGTTGTCAATAGCATGTACAAGATCAACTTCTACAGCTGTATGTTGTTTCTAATGAGCATTAGTTATGAAAGGTACTTTACAATAGTCCAGGAAATGAAAGCTAAGAACTCGAAGCAAAAAAGGCTTCTGCGCAGCAAACTAGTTATCTTTGGCATTTGGCTTATTGCAATAGGCTTGTGCATCCCAGAAATAGTGTACAGTGAAACTAAGCAAGCTAATGATATAATTACTTGCAAAATGACATATCCTCCCAGTGTTACACGAACCATCAAAGTTACTGTCCTATCTTTGAAAATCATAGTAGGGTTCCTCCTTCCTCTCTTTGTCATACTTACTTGTTATGCTTTTATAATCCATGCCCTTCTTCAAGCCAAAAGATCCCCAAAACAAAAATCATTAAAGATCATCATCCTTATTATCACAGCTTTCCTCCTCTCCCAGTTGCCCTACAACAGCATTTTGCTGGTTAAAACTATGAACACCTACACCATGGTCAGATATGACTGCAACACCTCGGACAACATTGACCTTGCATTCCAGATAACTCAGAGCATTGCCTTCCTTCACAGCTGCCTGAACCCTTTCCTCTATGTATTTGCTGGGGAGAGATTCCGTAAAGCCCTCTTTAAAATTTTGGAGGGTGAGACTCAGTGCGGTAGAAAGAGAAGAGAATGGAGCTCTTCTGTTTACGATAGCCAGGAATGTAACTCAAATAGGTCATCTATGTTATAAGGATAGTCATAAATCAGGGGCTCGCTCACTTTGAACATTTATCCAAATTTCTCACTCCTAGCCAACCACTGCCAAGTTCCTTTGGGGGTTAATGAGAACCTGGCTTTAGCAATGAAATTCTCTATGATTCTTCTTCCATTCTGGGGAAAAAAAGAAGGATCCCTCTCAAAGTGTGTGTGCATTTTCACTCAAGAAAAGGGCTTGATTCTGCAAAGTGCTGAGCATTTAAACTCCTACGCTTTGTCTCCACTGCAGGGTTTTTGTGCAAGAAGCTTTTTGCAGAAGAGATCTTCTGCAAAACCTTCTTGAACAAAAGCGCGTCCACATTTCAAAAGCACATCGGAAAAGCGATGTGCTTTTGTGCAAGAGAGCGTCCACACTTCATGGATGCTCTTGTACAAGAAAGCTCTGATGGCCATTATCAGAATGGCCATCAGAGCACCTGTGCTTTTTCTGATAGGCTTTTTTGCGCAAGAAACCCGTGTTGAACGTCCACACATGCCTTTTTGTGCAAGACCTGTAGCGCAAAAAGAAGTTATTCCTCGTGGGGAGATGAATAACTCTACCGGCAAAAGCCCTCTTTCCTGTTGATTTACTCGGGGGTGGGGGAGGTTGTGCAAAAATGCGCTTGAGGTGTGAACACTCCGCCGGTTTTTGTGCAAAAACCTTGTAGTGTCGATATAGCCCTACTGAATTCAGTCAGAATTGACAGAGCTCAGCACCTTTCCCCTAAGCACTCCTCACTATGTAAAATTAAGTTCTAGACTTTTGGCTGAAGGAAAGGGACAGCATTGAAAAGAAGTAGACAAATAATGTGATGCTAACTGTATGCAGACAGATAATTGAAAGAGGATTAAAAAACTATTGGAAATTCAGAATAACTGTTCATTTCACTAGAGCTAATCCAAATTGCCACCATATCGATGAGAACAGAATTTGGCTCCTGCATTGCTTTGTTATTGAGTCTTGATCTGTAAGTTATTTCGCTGAATGAAAATTTAATTTTATTCCACTTATGAAACTGATACGTTGCCAGAATGATCGGAATGAAAGTTTTGTGGGTTTTTTTATTGCAGAGAGGATCTTGTCAAATTAGCTTGATTTTATATATTTTTTAGGTCTTTGATTTTAAGGTGAATCAAAGTGCACAGTTTGTACCATACCCCATGGAATGCTTCAGTATTAGATGTTTGCTCAATGTACATGTCAATAAACATTGCATCTTATAGCATGATTTTGGGGGGTCACATCTGTAATTTTCTGTCAATATGGGCATTGCCTTTCAACTTTAAGAGCTTTGGTAAACTAGACATAGCAAACAAACTGTTATCTGGACTGATATACTGATATATATGCTGAGCATAACACAATGGTTCAGGAAGTGTATCTACCTCAGGCCTATAAGGCAGAGAGAGAGAAGGAATGAAACCTAAGTTTCAGGAACAGTTTATAGACACTCTCTCAGGCTATGTCTATACTATAGAGCGGGGGTTCCCAAAGTTTTTGACATGGGGACCAGTAAATCCATTCACGAGCTTTTGGAGGACTGGTAACACTCATTTGCATATTTGCATATTCATTAAGCAAATGATGAATATTTAAATAAGTTGTTTCTGGTCCTCTGAAAGTCCCCAGTGCCAGTGTTAGCAGAGCTTTTGATACAGTCACCCACAGTATTCTTGCCAGCAAGTTAAGGGAATGTGGATGGGATAAATGGACTAAGATGGATAGAAAGCTGGCTAGATCAGGGTTTCCCAAACTTTTTACTTTAGTTGGAACCCATTTTTTTTAGTACTGTTTTTTGCAGCCCAAAAATATAAATGCATATAAAAAAGAATAAAAAATGAATAAATTTTCAGAGTTTCACCCAGCTGCATCCTCCACCCAGCCTGGGCCAGGGCTTGGGGAACCCGGCGCCACATGGACACTCCAGGAGGCGGGAGCAGGAGCAGATTGGGGGTAGGGTATCTGGCTAGGAGGGAGGGTGCAAGGAGGGGTAGGGTTGCCAGGTGTCCTTTGCTGCGAACTGCCTGGCTGGTAGATGTGCTCAGGCTGCTTGAGTGTGTCTACCTGCCAGGCAGTTCGCAACAACTCGAGGGAGGGTATGTGTGCGTGTGGGGGGGGCAAAATGGAGTCTACGACCAGACTCACTCGTCTTCCAGGGTCTGCAGGCGCCCAGGTCAGTCCCGTGCTCCCTGCCCTTCTCCTCCCAATCTCCCAGTCCAGCCCTGCTGCACCCGTCCAGCCTTGCTTCCGGTGGCCAGTTCCTCCCACTCCCACCAATCTCCCCCGGTCAGTCCCGCTCCCCCAACGACCCCCACAACCAGCCCCGTTGCCCCCGTCCAGCCCTGCTTCCAGCAGCTGGTTCTCCTGTCCTCCTCCTCCTGATCTCTCCCATGCAGCCCTCCTCCCCTCGCCCCACCCAGCTCTGGTTCCGCTGCCTGCCCTCCCCGATCTCCGTGGGACAGCCCCGCTGCCTCCAACCCTGCTTCTGCCGCCTGCCCACGTGCCCGGATCTCCACGGGACAGCCCCGCTGCTCTCAACCCTGCTTCCCGGCGGCCGGTTCCCCGCCTGCCACCTACTCTCAGGCTGCTCCTCTTTCCCCCGCTCTGCTCCCCTCCCGGCAGCCACCAGGCACGCTGAAGCCCGGTATTTTTTTCCCGCAGCCCAGTATTGGGCTGTGGCCCATAGTTTGGGAAATGCTGCTATAGAGTTTTTCCTGGGATAGTATCCCAGAAAAACTCTTCTGCATCCAGAGAACACGTCTGTTCTTCTGAAATTTTTTCAGAAGTGCAGATATGCTTTTTTGACATCTCTGTAAACCTCATTTTACAAGGAAGAAGGGATGTTCCGAAAAAGAGGGTTTTCCTGACATTTGGCCCAGTGTACATGGGCCAAATGTTGGAAAAGCCTCTTCCAAAAAAAGAAATGAAAAAAGCTACGCAAATTGCGGTTTGCAATTTGTGTAGCGTTTTCTGGAAGAGCAGTGTAGTGTAGACATAGCTTCTCTGGTTACTGGAGATAGGATTGTCTGACACATCATGTGATTATATTGACCTGCACATCTGTATCTGCTCCTCAAGGGAGTCTCACAGGCATTAATTAATTTAGCCTCTCAATATTCCAATTGCACAAGGAGAGAGAGTCAGAAACAGAATCCAGGACAGAGTCTCCTGTCTTCTGTGCCTTAAACACAAGGCCATCCTAGCAACAAGGTCTAGATTTAAGTGGTGCATATAGCTTTGCTCTCTGCTCTTTTCCGCTCCCTAATATGCTCTCAACTATGTCTCTTGGTGGCCATTTTCATTTCAGTAAGCACCTATGGAAGGAACACTTTCCATGTTATCAGTGCTCTAGGATGAGGGTAACAGACACACAGGGGATGGGGAATTGAGGACCATATATTCTCAGCTAGCTTCCACATTTTTGCATTGACCCATCAGCATATACAAAGCTTAAATTTTGGTGTACAAATAAGGCAGCTAGACATCCACTGGCCTAATTTGCACATGTGCGGGCAAATGGACAGGCAGTTTTGAGATGACAAGTTTCTATAATACTTTGGAAGTTAAAAAGGAAGAAAAGAGGAAAAATAATTTAAAGTAAATAGCAAGCAGAACTCTTAAGGGGTAGGGGTCAGAGACAGGATCTATGCATAGAAGACTTTCCCCAACTTGCAGGTAGAAGCAAAACAGTCATTTGGTCAAACATAAGCCCTATTATCTTATTGAGGGCTTAGCCTTAAAAGGTGCTGAGCATTCCTTGGAGATTTTGAGTGCTCCCAACCATCAGATTTTCAAAACCAACGAGGAGTCCTGTGACACCTTAAAGACTAACAGATTTAATTGGGCATAAGTTTTCATGGATAAAAACTGCTTCATCAGATGCATGCCCAATCAAATCTGTTGGCCTTTAAGGTGCCACAGTACTTTTCACTGTTTTGCAGATACAGGCTGACCCAGCTACCCCTCTGAGACAGATTTAAAAAAATCATGAGTCCAGCTCACCAAAAATAATTAATGTCTTTGAAATAATATTATGCAAAAATACAGATTTGGTGGTCTTTATTTGCCTTCTGCTTTTTGAGACTTTCGGGTGCACTGGAGTCACATTTTGCATCTCTCAACAGCCACAAGAACTAGACACATACGCCTGGTCTATACTAGACCAGGCAGGTCAGCTTAGGGTATGCAACTCCAACTATGCAAAATGATTAAGCCAAACCATGGCAGTGTCCACACAGCAGGAGGCCAATGGAGGCATACATTCTAGTTGGCTTCCCTTACTCCTCGCAGGAGGAGTACCACCAGACACCGTCAGGGGCTGCCCTCTCAGCATTTGATCTAGTGGGTCTATACTAGACCCACTAAATCAAATGCTAGAAAATCAACCTCCAGAGCATCAATCTTTTCCTAAGCATAGACATGCTCTTACTGTTCCTTTAAATATGAAAGCTGAAATCATCACATAATCAATGTCCCAGCTCCTGGAGCCAAGTAAGAAAAACAATAAATAGCATGAAGCAAAATGCAGGACTATGTAGCACTTTAAAGACTAACAAGATGGTTTATTAGGTGATGAGCTTTCGTGGGCCAGACCCACTTCTAATAAATAGCATGAGATCATGACATAAATCATGGAGTTGGAAACACCATCATTGATTGTGCACGGCAATGTGTAGGAGTGCTCAGCATTTTGCTGTATGGAGCCCTAATACAAGCAAGCAGAAACATGAAAAGAACCTGGTTACTTTTAATACACGAGAGATCAAAGCACATTATAGTAAATAAATCCTTAGGTGATGTAACTGAAAAGAAGATCTTGCACTAGAGCATACAATAAAATCAAAACATTTTTGAACTATACAGCTCTTTATGAGGATTTGTATATTAAAAGTTGCTCTATATAATATAACTAGCTGGAGTTACCCTGTGTTGCTCAGGAAAATTGATATAACTGAAGTGAGGAGCCTGAGGGGATGGAGGGGGAAGGGAGCCGCGCGCCTGCTGCCAGCGCCCGGGCCCGCCCTCTGCTTCCTTGTCCCTCCACCGGCCTTAGTGAGTGACTGTCCCCACTGCTTCCCCCTGCACTGTCAAGCTCTGTGCAGCCCTGGGGAGAGGCGTCGGTCTCTCATCTCTTCCCTCCCACAGTCCCTTAAAATCTTCTTCTGGATGAAAGGTTATCCCATGCAGAGTTTGGTTGCGGTAGCTCTTATAGTTCCAAGTTATTAGTGCACAAACATACAAACATTCTCCTTTATAGATTATAGTAGCAAACATTCTAATAATCTGATTGTCGGGATTTTTTTTTTTTTTAACAACCACAGTAATTTCAAGGATGTTTCCCTAACTCCCTTTGCAAACTCACCAAGCTCAAGGCAGAGATTAAAATGTGCAAAGGGAAATGACCATTCCTAGTACGGATCATCTGCTTGATTTATTTAAAAAAAAAAATCTTGTTAAAGTTTGACTTCCTCTGCAAGCTGCTTTCATAACCCTTATCCCTGAACTGTAAATGAGCAAACCTTAGGCACTGACTTGAAGTCCAGGGCAAATGCTCCATTCTGTGGCATGGATTCCAGCCCCAACTCCAGCCAGTGGCTCATCAGACTCACCTCATGAGCAGAGCGCTGCTTGCCTGGACTTCTTAGCTCAACTGGGAGAACCACACTGAGTTCACACTTTGGTTAAAGCAGTGTAATTGTTACATATGAATAGTCAGAGAATGAGAACACGTCTCAAAGAGCAAGAAAACCCCTTTTGCAGCTGCCAGTCAAAAAATCTACATCAGCAAAGCAAACTATGTAGAGTTTTATGTTATCCATTAGGCATCAATTAGCTTTTACTACTATTCTTCAGTGTGGGGGAAAAAAAAAGACTGCACTTTAAAGTAGGCCAACCTGGTTGAAGGTCCCTTTCAGTATTACTTGTCTTTTGTCAGCTCTTTGAAGTCTCAAGTCCCCTTAAGAAAAATAGTGGCTTCTTACCTGTGTGGTATTTGATGAACCATGTTCCTGGGGTTTTTGAGTGTTCTGAACCTAATCTGAATTTTCTCACGGTTTCTCATATAGAAAGGTTGTGACCTGGTCATGCTACTTTGCCTGTGAGTCATTTTGTGAATAACCTCATCAGAAGACTTTGAAGCTATGACAGCCTGATGTGCTATACAGAAATAGGAAAACTAGACCTCAGGCTGTGTGACTGATACAGGCGGGTCTCCAGACACTTGATTTACCTGCGCATCTGCACATGTCCTCTGGCAACTCCCATTGGCTGTGGCTTGCTGTTCCTGGCCAACAAGAGCCATGGGATGTGGTACCTGGCCCACACCTCCTTTTGGTTAGGAACCATGAAAGTGGCTGTACTTGCAGAGGTGCAAGTAAATAAAGTGTCTGGTGGCCTGCCGGGGCCTAACCCTGGTGATCCGCATCAGGTATGGCACATGGCTAAGCTAGATTCTGATGCTCCTCCCAACAATTTAACTCTCCTCCTATGCTAACATAATAAAACCATGTTGCCAAAGGCTATGTCTACACTACAGTTTGGTTGGCAAAAGCTATACTGCTTTTAAACAAACTGCCGTTGCATACTCACACTATGCTCCTTGTGTTGCCAGAGTGCATCCACACGAGCAACTCTTGCACTGACACAGAGAAATGTGCAGCGTGGGTAGCTACCCTACTGTGCAACAAGCTGCACGATGCTTTGGGAAGGACTTTTGCAATGGGGCAGGGACAGCATCACATGATGTAGGTTTCTTAATCCCATTGTTCCATGGGCGTCCTACTAGATTGATAGTCAACGTACTTATGCTAAAGTAGAAATCTTTCCTGCACCTCCTCTTCTGACCATCAAACAGCTCATCATGAGAAGCAGCTCTGCACAGACCACACCAACTCAAGGTGGTACCAGACCATGCCAGAACAAATGCAAAACCTGCAGACATAGCTTCACTGCTCCAGTGATCAACACTCCCGCAATCACACATCTTTCAGCTTCCATGGGTCCTGCACCTGCTATCATAACCTGTGGTGAACCTCATCCTGTGCACTAACTGCCCCAGTAACAACTACTTGGGAGAAACCAAACACTATGCTTTTATAAGAACTCACACAGAAAAACAATAAAAGACAAGAATACCCTTTTTACAAAGCGATCACTCAGTAGCTGACCTATCAGTCCTTATCCTCAAAAGGAAACTTGCACAACACTTTCAAGATCATCTCCTCCTCTGAAAGTGGGTTTTGCCCACAAAACCGTTATATATATATATGTTATATGTTAGTCTCTAAGGTACCTCAAACCTACTCATTTTTAAAGTTACAGACTAACACGGCCACCCCTCTGAGACTTTCAAAAGACAAACCTGAGAGCTTAAATTTGTACTTTTGCTAGACACTGAAAATCATAGTCTTAATAAACTGGATTTTATGTCTTATTACAATCATCTGTAACCCACCTATCTCCCCCTTTTCGTTCTATGACTACAGGGATATTAATGGGCCGCTTCACCTTGAATGGTCCCTCTGAGTATGTCCTAACTACTGATGCTAAACTTTGTTCAACCTTATATTTAGCTGGAACAGTTGAGTTCCATTCCTGGACCTGAAGGAGAGCTCTGTGTAGCTTGAAAGCGTCTCTCTCGCACCATCAGAAGTTGGCCCAGTAAAAGATATTACCTCACGCATCTTATCACGTAAGTTACTTGTCGTACTAACATAATTCAAACTGAGAAATGAATGTTTAGGGGGAAATAAGATTTACAGAGTGAGTGGACACAATGAGCAGCTGTTCTACTAAATATCCCATTGTGTTCTGTCTTGGGGCTTGGGGAGTAACTAACCCTAAAGCTCATATTGTCAGTGAACAAGCAAAGTACTGAAGTGCCAACTTTGGACACCTAAAGTTACATTTTGAATTTTCTGGAGAAGGTTCAGCCTTTTAACTCTTTGACAGACCACTTCACTATACTGATATATTGACAACTGCATAATTAGATCCTCAGCTCATTGTCTTCCATGGGGAAGTTTCACCATTTAACACCAGCTAAAGAGGATCAAATCCATAGCATCTCCATTGGACCTGGTCTGGTATAGCATTATTTATAATCTAGAGAAATCATCTAGAAAAGAGCTAACCATGAGCTCTGGTATTATGATATGATGTAATAAAATCATTGTCCACCATTGAAGATCAACACATGCCAGCAGCTATCATACAATTCCCATACTTATTTCTTACCTTCAGTATGGCGATGGTGGTGCTCTCTCAGCCATTCATTTGGTAACAGATAGCAAATGCTGAGTTTTAAAGATAACTACTGCACCAAGGCCAAGGAAAAAATGATTATTTTTATTCACACTGTTTGTTTCATGTAAGGTAAGAACTACTATTAAATTCTCTCAGATGTCCCTACATTCTAAGAAGCCAATAGATTGTTTATGTTTTTCATTACTGCCACCATTGCTTGGGCTCTGAGAGCAACAGAACACAAAATCCCAGCACAGAACAAATCACCTTATTATAATCAAAGTATAAACCTCTCACAGCTGAGCCCATGTTCAGAAAGGGGCATTTATGAGTGGGGACAAGAATGCTGGGATTTCTGCTTATCAATTCTACTAGCTGCTGTGCAAGTGACACTGTTACCTGCGTGTTAATGTTATTACTCAAGTTGTGGGTGAGGAGTGGATTGTGGGCACACAAAGGCAGGCTGGGGTTTTTTGTGTGTGTGAAGATTTACTCCTAGGCTACATCTACACTACATCTGTTCTTGCACAAAAACTTGCAGAGCATCTACACTGCATGTGTGTTCTTGCGCAAGTAAATTTACAGCAAAGTGTCAGAAAAGAGGGCTTCTTGTGTAAGAGTTATTCCTCTCCCCATAAGGAATAAGCCCTCTTGTGCAAGAAAGCAGCGTGGATGGGCAACAGAGGTTTCTTGCACAAGAGACCATAAGTAATAAGCCCTCTTGTGCAAGAAAGCAGCGTGGATGGGCAACAGAGGTTTCTTGCACAAGAGAGCTTCCACACTGCCATGGACACTCTGTGCTGCAAAAGCACATGGCAATGCAGATGCACTCTTGTGCAAAACAGTTCTTGCACAAGAAGCCCGAAGGGTAGACATAGCCCTATTGTGGCATATACGTATGAATCAGCACAGGTGCCCACGGACAACAGTAGCTAGTGCCAGAATTGTTTTGGGTAGTGGGGACTGATGGGAAATAAGCTCCTCTCCCACAGGCTTGCCAAACATGGATGATTAATTGAGTGTTGCCCCCTTTCTCTTAATGCAGGGTCTTTGTATACGTATCAAAGTACTAAAGGCCTCTCTCCAGAATTTCTTTTCACAGGTCTGAGTCCCTGTCAGGGGGCAGACTCACCACCATAGCACCTCCAGCCAGCAGTCCTAGGAATTAGCTTGATAACTCATTGGATGCCTCCCACTATCCGGTATCTTCCCATGTTTCTCTTTGACCACAGCATCCTCTTCAGGACACTACCCTCTAGCAGTGCCCCTGCTAGTGTCTGAGCCCTCCCCCCTTCTGAGGGTTAGTGTTTATCCTGCTTGTACTCCAGAGTCCTCCCTTCCCCAAGACACCCTGTTCTTCCCCCAGGGAACACCCAGTTCCCCTGTACCCACTGTGGAAGAAAACACTGTCCTCACTCTGCATTTGTAAGCAACAAGTAGCCAGAGGCAGTTTTATTACTAGCTGCAGCAAGGGAAAAACTGGTTCGGACGGGGGGTAAGCCCCCCCCCCTCCCCGAGGCAGATCTTCGAATACAAGCAATTATGAAGCAGTTGGGTTAAATCCCACTGAGGCTAGAACTCAGGCTGTTCCTGTGAATAAAGACTCCGAGGCTGTGTCTACATTGGCAAGATTTTGCGCAAAACGTTGTAATGTACAAAATCAGTGCTTCTTGCGCAAATACTCTGACGCTCCCGCTCAGGGATAAGCCCTCTTGCGCAAGTATTCTTGCACAAGAGGCCAGTGTAGACAGCAACGTTAATTTCTTGCGCAAGAAAGCCTGATGGCTAAAATGGCCATTGGAGCTTTCTTGAGCAAGAGAGCGTCTACACTGGCACAGATGCTCTTGTGCAAAAGCAAATCTTTTGCGCAAAGGCACATGCCAGTATAGATGTTCTCTTGCTCAAATACTTTTAACTGAAAAACTTTTCCATTAAAAGTAGCCAGTGTAGACGTAGCCTGAGATTGGGTGTCTGCTGGAGTGAGAGGGGGCAGATGGGAGGAGGTTGTGGTGACTACAAACTGCCCACTTCAGGGGGCCAGCATGGCTGTAAAAGTGGTTGCCACTGTCCAGAGAGGTAGCCACATTAGTCTGTTTCAGCAAATACCACAGGAAGTGCCATCGGGAAGCAAACCAGATCTGGACTACAAAATGTTCTACAGATGGCTCATTATTTTGATGATGTCACACAAAATGCTGCTTCACCTTGGAATACTTTTACAAGATATAACTTCATAATAAAAAAAACATCTATTAGAAATAGCAGATGAACCAGGAACATATTGAACATCAAGTGAAGAGAAAGTTCTTATGTGGAATCTCCATCTCTGGAGATATTTAAGAGCAGTTTAGATAGATGTCTATCAGGGATAATCTAGATGGTACTGGGTCCTGCCGTGAAGTCAGGGGATTGGACCTCTCGAGGTCTCTTCCAGTTCTAGTGGTCTTTGCTTCTATGATACTTTGTTGAAAAAGTAGTGCCTGTATGGGAAGTACAGTTTCTGCATCGAATTTCCACACCGGAGTAGCCTGTGCAAAATAGGACTGGGGGCCGGAGAGAGGCAGAGTCTGAAAAGCAGCCTGCCTGCAGCATGTTCCCCACTGAAAGTCCTGGAACACACATGGACAGTTCCCATCTAAGTTAATGCTACTCTTGTGTCAGGAACCAACAGGAACCAGTTATGCTGCCATTTTATGGGAAAGTCCTGTAGATTTTAATATGTAGGAAACTAACAAGGTTCTATAGAAATCTCTTGCAAAAACCTAAAAAATGTAATAGAGCTCAGTATTGCTATGATTCTCTGACCCGGCTTACAGAACTGTATGGCCAGGATTTCATTCTCTCAAACACTCTACAGACCAGTTCCAAACAGTTATAGGAAAGTTCACTTTCTATTAAATTCTACAGCACTTTACTATAAAGGTAGATGACGGAGTTAGAAGATGAGCAGCAATGCAGAGAAAACAGGAAAGCGCAACAGCTCCTACCACAGGTCATCAGTGGGATTTGAATGTGTCGACTTCACTAACGCAGAGACACCCACCATTGCAAAGAAGCAACTGCATGAGTGAGACGTGGCAGTAGGCATTAATCTTCACTATGCATTAAACACTAGGGCTGCATCTAGATTGGCAAGATTTTGCACAAATACTTTTAATGGAAAAGTTTTTCCATTAAAAGTATTTGCGCAAGAGAGCGTCTATACTGGCATGTGCCTTTGCGCAAAAGCATCCGTGCCCAGTATAGACGCTCTGTTGCGCAAGAAAGCTCCGATAGCCATTTTAGCCATTGGGCTTTCTTGCGCAAGAAATTAAGGTGGCTGTCTACACTGGCCTCTTGTGCAAGAATACTTGTGCAAGAGGGCTTATCCCTGAGCGGGAGCATTGAAGTATTTGCACAAGAACCACTGATTTTGTACATGACAGTGTCAGCGTTCTTGCGCAAATACTCGCGGCCAGTTTAGACAGGCGGCAAGATTTTGCACAAAATCATGCCAGTCTAGATGCAGCCTTGAGCACAAATGGGATGATTCTTTTCATAGTTGCCTAGCAACCCAACGAGCTTGGCAGGGCCCAACGAACCCTCACCAAGTGACCATGCTGCCTGATTGGACAGAAAGGCAATCAGATCTCCATTTCAACCTGGCAATGACAGCAGCACTGTGCTCAATGCATTCCATGCCTCCATTTGCACCAGACCTGCTTCTCTTACCAGCCCTTGCTCCATCCCAGGCTTGTTCTTGTCCTGCTCTAGTCCCCACCTTCTTCAGAATGCCTGATTCCTGACACCAAGCACCGGCTTGTCTCCTGTCAATGACAGATACTCTGCTCTTTGGTTCTGGCTCCTGCCTCTGACCATTGACTTGTCCCCTGCCCACACTCCAGTTCTGCTCTCTGACTCTCCTCTGACCAGTAGGCCAGACTCCTGTTCTGACCACTAGTTTGCAATGCCTACACCTTGGTGTATAATAGTCTGAGCAGCCCAGCAGAAGACAGGAGGGACCATCGGCCTATGGCGTGGATCTTCCCTACAGAAACGCCACAGCAGGAGCCTAGTTCACCTTTTCAGACATTGTTGGGGAATGGTGAGCGCAGGTCACAGCACTCCGTGAGCAGAATGCAGCCCTCCAGGCCTACGTAGGAGCCAAGGCATTGCCGTCTGTCCCTGCAGTTCTCACATCCACTTTCTAAATGACCGAGCTGCCCCTACTGGACAAGTTCAACAGCTATTATGCCAAGTTTCGTAGCTTCCTTAACCAATGTCGTCTCCAGTTCATGTTACATCCACATCTTCATCCGATTGTCCTTCCAGACCCTGAAACAATGCAAGTCGATCTGCCTGGCCCCACCTTTCTGCTGCTGAGATTTGTACCTCACAGATCAGTCCTGAGTGGGATTAGTCCTGATCTGCTCACCTCAGAGGCCCTGATTTTCCCCCCCCCCTCCG